GCACCGAAGCTGTTCATCAAGGCGATGCTTACAGGAATGGCCGGGGCAGCGGCCAGCACGATGGTGGGGTAGGGCGGGACGGCGATATCCATCGACTGTCGGGGTGGAGACGGGCAATTAAGGCTCGGTAGGCCAGCGGGTGCGTGAGAAAGAAGATGAATAGGGTCAGGCGGGCTTGAGGAGAAAAATGAATCCAAAAGCTGTTGGATGTTGATTTGATGGTCACGAGAGAAAATGACTGATTGAAGCATTTAACAAGTAGTCACTCTCTTTGTTTTTCAACAAAAATGTTTTAGTCAGTCAAGCAAATCATGTTTGCTTCTATTGTAAAAACGGAAAGTCATGTTTGCTTCTGTGGGTATAGATAAATCCTCAACGGAGCAGGACCACTACGGAGGCGGCTTAAGGTGAGTTGTATGTATGTCTCGTTGTAGCAAGACACAAAACTCAACACATTACTTGGTTTTGACCATTCTGCGAGTTGAGCTTGGTTTCGATCGACCTGTTAGTTTGTTTCGACAAAAAAAAATACATCTGTCATTTAATGCTTTGGTCAAAGTGTACAACAATCCTTGCATGATGCGGCTTAATGGAGCTTCAAGTGTTTTCCTTTTCAAAACTAGGAAAAATATATTTTTCGAATGTTTTTTTGAAATGGCTAGATTTTAAAAATATTTGTTATAATTACTTTTAAAAACACTAAAAAGTTGTAAAAATATCCATAGATTTTACAAAGTATTCTAGAATATAAATAAATACGTAAAAAAATTGACAAATGATTTTGAAATTTAAAAATCTATATGATAGTCAAAAATGCATTTGAAAAAGAACAAAAACATAAACAGGAAAAACTGAAAAAACTATTTGAAAAATCAAGAAAACTCATAAAAAGACTTAAAGTAGTGAGAATAGAAATAACCGGAGCAACCATAATGGACCAGCCCACTAGTGTCATGGGGGTTGGGGTCAGGGCACACGTCTAGTCGATATCCCTCAGCCTATGCACAAAATAGGATTGACCGCCCCTGAACACGAAGCAGAATTACACACCGCTTATTGAGGGTGTTAGGCCTCACCCCCAATGCACAGGTACTTAGATGTTTCTAAGTACCCATGGAGATCCTTCATGTATTTGGACATCTTGTTGGTATAGAGCCCGGTTATAATTGGTATCTTCGCGATATTAATACATTCCTTTTGTCAACAAAAAAACACCCGTGCAGAATGTGATCTTACTGAACACGTGTAGAAAAGACCATGCTTGCACTAAAAGTTGTAAGAGGAGCACAGTGCGTGCATAAAAAACAAATTAAATATATACAATAAAATATTTATCATAATTATAACATTAATTCATTTTAATTTTGTGTATCCAGTGGAAAAGGGTAAAGTAAAAGAATGCCCACGTCTCACGACTGTAATCCTCACATATTATAAAATCTCCACATAATTTTCACGTTTTCTAAAAATATCATATATAAAACTAGTAGTTGGTTCCCATTTTTCTGTTATCTTAACATTCACACATGTCACTTCATATATTTTCTAATAACTTTTTCATTATTAGTTATTTCACACCTCATCAAAGGTTTACTTAACATGCATGTGAATTTTCTTTCCGTTATACTATGACACTTATATTCAATAAGTATTTTCAAATACACAATACTCAAATACAATATATAATATGGATGTTTAGTTTTAGTCATGTATTATTAATTCAACAATTCATGTTTTTGAATTACATGAACAATTTTTAAAATAATGTGTATTTTAAAAACAATCTGAATACTATTTTAGAAATAAACTACTCCCCCTGATCCAGTTACAACCTTAGTACGAAGTTGTACTAGTGCTACGACAGTTAATATGGATCGGACGGAGTAACATTTTTCTATAAAAAAATTATATTTTTTAAAAATAATACATTGTTACTTAAAATAAGGAAAAAAACAAGAAGAATAGTAAATACTCCCTCTGTCCTATTATATAAGAACGTTTTTGACTAAAAAACACTCTTATATTATGGGACGGAGGGTGTCGGTGTCAAAACCGGCGGATCTCGGGTAGGGGGTCCCAAGCTGTGTGTCTTAGGATCGATGGTAACATGAACACGGGATTTTACCCAGCTTTGGGCTCTCTTGATGAGATAATACCCTACATGCTGCTTGATTAACTTTAATGAGTATAGGGGTTATAAGAGTTGATCTACCCCGAGATCATATATTATGGTCTAAACCCTAGAGGTATGATGATTAATGACCTCATCTATCGACTAGCCTGGCCTCGGTTTATATAATGTACCAGACGCCTAGGATAACAAGAGTCCTAGCCGAATACGCCGGTGGGGAGGAGTCCTTGTCTTCATCACCAAGTCTTGTGGAATCTTCCTTGTATGTGGCAACTGTCCAAACTGGCTCATGAGTATACGGCCATGGGGGTCCTCGGCCCAATCTAACTGATCGGGAGACGACGTGGTGAGTACCCCCTGGTCCAGGACACCGTCAGTAGCCCCCTGAACCGGTCTTCAAGTTGGGGACGCTCCTCGATTCTTCCGAACTGTTCTTCATCTTCGGTCGTCGGTCTTGAAAACTGGTTCAACAAATCTTCTCATCTTCGATCTTGAGGATCGCGATGTAAATCCGAAGAGTTTACATGTCGGGTATCCGAGGAGCCCCTTTAAGTTTCCGGCCTTTATCAATGCCTTGTTATTATTATGCCACGCCTCGGGTTTGAAGTTATTCTTGGGTGGCAGTGTCCTCTTGCATCCAAGCTCCAACACCGGATTGCATTCGAGGTATCTTTTGCAGCCAAGCACCAACGTCGGACTGCTTCCGAGCTCCAACGCCGGAATGTATCCGAGCTTCAACGCCGGACTGTGTCCAAGCTCCAACGCCGGACTGTATCCGAGCTCCAACACCGGACTATATCCGAGATGTCATAGATCATCTTGGTTCAAAAAAGTTGAAGGAGTTTAGCCGAGCTTAATGCCGGGAATGCACTCTATGGAGCCAGCCACTGGCGCCCGAGCTTTATGCCGGACTACTTCCGAGGTGGTGCAATTTATTCTCCGTCGAGATATATAGCCAGTAGCCCTCAAGGTGTGTGTGTCGGTCTAAAACCCGAGATGCACGTGAAGGAAAACATGAAACCGCTGATCCTAGTAGCCCCTGAGACTCAGTTCGATGCGCGAAATCGGCCTGAGGATCAACTCCTAGCTCAGCAGCATACATAGGAATAGAAACACGGTGTGTAAAGTCCTCGAGACTCAGGTTGGGTGTGGCCGACCAACCTGAGGATAATAATCTCCTCGAAAACTATATTGCACTTTAGATTTTCTGCATTGGATTGCCAATGCAGTAGCCCCTGAGACACTGGTCGGGTGGCAACATCAGATCAGGGGATCGATGTACCCCTTTTAATATTTGTAAATAATAAGCCCGAAGCCTAGTAGCCCCCGAGCCTTAATGCGGGCACGGGAGGCCGAATTAAGGATCGATATACATAGTAAAATCACAAATTATGTGTAATGACTCTATGTATCTAGGTACTTTACATCATTAATGCTCGGATCTGCATTGTACAAAACTTTGTTGACCGACCAACGGCTTCAACCTCCTCGGCCAGGAGCCGAGAAGTGTTTGTCCTACTTTATAAAGCCTTTATGAGGGCAAAGATTTATGATAAACGAGGCAATCCGGCCATACGGTTTTATAAACAAAGGTACGTAGAGAGACATATTATATTATTGTTTAACATAAGAAACGTCGTCCAAAGAAAATAGTCCCGCTATCGGTTCCTTTCTTTGGGTTGTCATGCTAAGCATGATCATGAAACCTCAGCTCCGATCAATGTGAGAGGAAAATACTGAGGATTTAGTTCGGGGAAAGCTTCCAAACTCTATGGTCTAGATGAACCCAGATTTTCACTTCCGTTGCGACCGTTTATAATCCCCATCGTCGGTGTCTACCCCCTTGTAGATGCTACGCAGGGTGTATCCGAAATAACAAAACAACTTTTAGCCGACGTCTCGGTGCCCGAAGGCGGTTGTGTTTGCGGAAACAAGGCAATCAGATATGCGGGCTTTATAACTTTCACTTAGTCATATGAGCTTAAAGTTGGGAGGCCAGCAAGTAGCCCCCCGCTTAGTGTTCGACGACAGCCGAGGTCAAGCCGTAAACACTTCAGCCAATGTTATGAACGGCCCATCATTTAATACAGTCATCAGACTTCTGACCAGTTTACGCTTATTGTGACAGTTAGTTTTCGGCTTTCTCCACTGCGGTGCTTAACCATGCG